GTCCCAGTTTGCCTTGCGACCTTTTGATTCGCGATGTGGCTGTGTCACCCGTGGTGTTCTACGTTTCCTCTAGCCTGCGGCCGGCGCAGGGGGAGGGGGATTATTCTTCATTTTTCGCGTGCTCGCTCTCTCCCAGGCGAGTTCCCAGGCCACGGTTCACCTGTGCGATTAAGCACATGTTGCTTGGCGTTTCTTTGAAGGTTTCACGTTTCCACTCTACGCCGAAGTCTCCCGCTCCTCTGCCGCCGCCGCGCAGAGGAATGACGGGCGGGAGCCGGGAGGGTCTCGCCGTGGCGAGGACCCAAATATGTTGGTGTAGCAGGCCCTTCTATTGTTGGCCGCCGAGTGCGCAACTTCTGGCGCCACCAGTAGCCAGTAGCAGGCCTGGCTGTGCTCAGCCTCCGTGCTAGAGACGGACGGTCCCGACGCAGCACCGAAGCACGAGTGGAGCGAGCGACTCTTCTTGTGGAGGTTCAAGAAATAAGTGCCCCTCTCGAGCGGGCTGAATCCGAGGCGGGAATTTATACATGACCACCGCCTGGAGGATCAATTTTCAGGGATCTCGCTGGCTGTGGATATGGATATGTTCGGGCCCCTGGGGGCCAAAACATATCCATATCCACCGCCCGCTGGGGCACCAGGACGTCGTTTCCCAGGCGTCGGATGTGGATAAATCCCCGCCTCGCAGAAAGACCACGGCGTCGCAGGTCTGGGCTCGATGCCACGGCCACACGACGCCAAACGTGCTCTCCCACTGTGCTCCCCCCCCCTGCCGACGGGCTGCGCCCGTGCACGGCTGGCTTCCACTACCGCGGGCGCGCCGCCGAGGGAGGCCCTTGCCTGGATGGGGGGAGGAGGAGGAGGAGGAGGAGGAGGAGGAGGAGGAGGAGGAGGAGGAGGAGGAGTACAGTACAGTACTCAAGCCCTTCAAGACCATCCTCTGACTGTTGTACTCTGGCTCGGGCTGGGGCTCGATAGACATTGCTACGCCACCCATTCCAGCATTTCGCCTAACAAGGCAACCATGCTGCTGCCGCAACACCTGACGTTCTGCTGATTCTGCTGCACACTCAAAGGCTGCTGAGAAATCATAAACGAGCATGTACAAGCAACGACACAAGTATGAATACAACGCGCAAGTGTGCAACACGTAAGATAATCAAACAACTGCATACACTACACAAGCAAAGAGAAGATTGGAAAGGCGCGGGCAGCAGGCTGATGGCCTGCAGGAAGAGGCCCAGCACGAGGGCGTGGCCGTAGGGACTACTCACTCGCTCACTTCTTGCCTCCTCTGCGCTTCCCACCCAGCTGGCGGGCCATATTGTTGCGAGGGGCTCGGTTCATCTTCACGTCTCCTCCCATTCCTCGAATGGCTTCGCTGATCAGCTGCTCGACTGGAATCCAGAGCCCTGGGATCTGCATCATCTCTGACGGGACCTCCACGGGGCTGATCATGAGGCCTTTCACGGGGGTATTGGGATCCTCGGGGTTCTCCTTGAGCTTCGCTTCGAGCTCGGCCGCGACCCCGTCCTCGTGGGGCAGGAGCATGTTGCCGTGCAGCGCGTACGTAATGCGACTCTTCGGAGAGACCCTTGGCTTGTCGAACGTGGGGAGCGCCACGAGCTCTCGAATCCATGATGCCATCTGTACTGGAACCGAGCGCCCCATCATGAGCGCAAGCCTTTTGCAGCCTGCTGCGACCGCTTTCATCCGCGGCGAAGTATCCTTGAAGCTGTAATTCTCGATAACGGCTAGAAGTGCGAAAAGGGCTTGGGACGCGGGGCCTGCGAGCTCCTGCTTGCCTTTGGCCTTCTCCTCCTTGGTGCGCTTGATGCAGTCCTGGAACGAGTTCTTGATGGCCTCGATGGCCGCTGACTTGCGATCGATGATCGCGGTGGAGAAGGCTGCGTGCTCGAGGCTCCTGACTCTGGCCTCGAGCTGGATCAGAAGGGCGTCCCTGGTCGAGTTCTTGTCGAACTGCTCGTCGTCCTCCTCCATGTCGCCCTCCGTCCTGGCCTGCTTCTGCAGCGGCCCTGATCCTCCCAGCAAGCTCACTGCGCGTGGTCTCACCAGTCCCGAGCTTGACCCTGCGCCGTCCATCAAGCCGAACGTGAAACTTGGGATATAGATATTCACGCGAATGAAGAAAATATGCTCGAGATATGAGTCTACGGATTCAAGCTCCTCAAGACAGACGTGGCACTTCATGTTGGATATTTCTTGAACTGCATTTTCATATCTACCACGGCTATAAGGGCAATATTTTCTGATCAAGCTCTTCTTTGTGCGTTGTTGTGCTACTGTCCGGTCACGAAATACACTTCCACATATGGTACACGTATTGGTCGGGGTACATATTTTGGTTACATGTAGTTGACCATGAGTACCTCCTTTCGTAGCGGCGATGTGTGCTATTAATTGTTTTCTCGTGACCCGCATTGTGTCCCGTCGTCCAGGAATTCACGGCAGACGAAACCTTCGTCGACCCCATCCACCTGAGTTGCTGCGCTGGTGGCAGCTGGCGAGAGAAGAACATGAGCGCGCAGCTGACTGACATCAAGTGCTTGAAATTCTTCGCTGATGTCGGGGTCAAACAGAATGACATCCAGGCGACCATCTGCCTGCAATAAAAGATCCCCGCCAGGCTCTATGGTCCCAAGAGAGTCTATGTCCTGCTGTAGCTGAACGGCCCAAGGGTGCCCCTGAGGAGGAACTCGACCTTCTAGTAACACATCTCCATCTACTGCCATAGAGCCTAGCATAGCGGCCCAAAACTGGCCATGCAACTCTTTGGCTTTACTTAATTCCTAATACCGCCTAAGTCGTCGTAATCTCAGCTCGAGAAATAGAGGCCCCACTCCGAACTTCTTGAGAACCTGTTGAGACGTGAGCGATTTTGCATGCCCCGGCTCCCAAGAGCAAGTCCCTGCCAGAATAGCCCTACATTTGTGCACGATGAACGTTTCGAGACCCTGGATGTCCCTCGGCCGAAGGGGCCCTTGAGACTTGGCCAAGACTTCCATCTCAGAGAGAGCACTGTTGATCAAGAGGCCTTTCACGAGATTCACCTTGAGCTTCCAAGGTGCAGCTGAAAACCAGAAGCTTCCCATCGTATAATAGCTTACTCGGGGCGACGCGAGTCGCTTCCCAACTTCGGGAGCAGGAGAAAACGCCGAGGAAAGATGCCCTCCAACAAGATATCGCGCATGGTGCCGACACGCTCCTGCAATTGTCTTGCACTCGCCGCGATGCAAGAGCCTTGTTAAATTGTGAGCGCCCATGCCTGCTAGATATACGACGTTTTCCTGCTTGGATAAGTTTTGCACTGCTCCCACCTCTCCCATCCCGCCTGATACTGCTTCGTTCTCGGCTGCTGAACCTGCTGCTAGCTGCTGAATAGCGTCTCCCTTCCCAATCTCCAGTACCTTGTTACCAATGTCATCTACAAAGCCAGTGAGTGCAACTTGCCGCACGTCCACGCCGTGCTCGTCCCACGGGAGCCGTGCCTCGACAGCGACGTGCCACCCATGTGTGCAGCACTGATCGGCCACGTGCTGCATGACTGGCTGCGAGAAAGGCCACACGAATAGTAGAGTAGCCCCAGTATCTCCAGGAAATACACCGGTCCCAGGACGAAGCCAGAAACATCCTGATTCATCTTGAAGTTTAAAAAGCACCCCTGGTAATTCGATCTTCGATAAACTCGAGGTCTTCAAACATATAGATCGTATCTGCAGAGTCAATCACCACAACATGCTTGAGCGAAAAAACGCATTCGATGCATCGTGGCATCGCAGCAAATGTGAGACTCCTCCTTTCTGCATTCGGTAGCTGCTGATGATTTGGACTGCCATGGCCGTTTCACGCCGCCGACGCTTCAGACCACCGTAGACCCAATCTGGAGGAGACCAGGGATTGATTTTTCGGTAAAGGGCTCCAGCATTGAAATTCCGTCCCAGGGTGCACATAACCATGATGATTCGTTCTCCATCGCAGTCCAACTTGGCATTCTTGGGTAGCCTGGCCGCCTGAGCAGCGTGCCAGGCAACAGGCGTGCGCCTCCAACGCCGACAAGCGACAAGTAGTTTCTTGAGAAGTTCTGCTGAGCGATTCTCTGGGAGCTCCACTTCTCCGGGTCCGATGCCTGCTCGTGCTCTGGGTCGTCGATCGTTGACCCAGGTCGGGTGAAACAGAAGACGCAATAAGTCAGGCGGGCAAGACCACTCGGGCCAGGTTCTCCAGAACCGTAGCTTCCAAAAAGTCCAAGGCATATATTCGAAACCTTCCACAGCTAAACCAATGGCATCGAGTTCTTGCCTGGGTTCCCGAGGAAGGTCCTGAACTTCTTGCTGTATGATCTCCAGGGAAGACTCCGTGGCCGAGCAGCCGCCCTCGCTAGACGAAAGTTTCATACGTTCAGCCCGCATCGAGGCCGAGGCTGCTGACTGCGGTAGAGCACTTGCGGGACCCTCGCCCTTTGCCAACCAGCATGCGGGATAGCTTATGTACCAAGTCGTAGTTGCGCTGCTCAAGAGCTTGCTTGAGTTCGGCGACTCGCCTGTTGCGTACATCTTCCCAGTATTTTCGAGCCGTGTCCCGAGGCTGGCGACTGAGTTGCTTGATCGCGTCGGTCATTCGCTGGGCGACAAAATCACTAGTTGACCTGCCTAGTAGTTCACGCTGTCGTCTACGTTGCTGCAATAGTACGCCCAAGAGCTGTGCACTAGTAACTCTCTCCTCTGTGCACAGCGGGGAGGCAGTAAATACTTCACAGGCGGCGGAGTTGAGCACTCTCATTAGCGTAGCGTTCATATCGTCAACTCTACCCTCCTCGTACATCCTCTTGAACTCCTCCATTACCTCCTCCGCCTTCTGATTCAATACGGTGATGGACTCCTCGCGTTTAAATCCTAGCTGCACACACTCGTACATGGCCTCGCGGTTGGGCCGAGCAGGACGCTCAGGAAGTGGAGCAGCAGAGGCGATGATGTGTGCAACTAAAACAACTGGCCTGTGGTCCCTGGCTGATACAGTCTGATGTAGTTGGAGCCGCCTGGCGCTTTGAGCGTGAACTTGGCAACTCTCGATTGCTGGGAGGAGAGCACGAGGGACCACCACATGGTCAAAATGATTTTCGCCAGTCTCCGACATAGGAGGCAACGTTCGGGAAGAACGTGTTCGCGGCGGAAAGGTCCCAGGCCTGCAGCACAAGGCGGATGGCTGCTGAGGCGGGGCAGGGGTTGCCGACGCCATGTTCTCCTGCGACATAGTCGTCATCTGACTGCCTGAGACCTCCATTCAGATCCATGTAGAGAAGGGGAAGTGCGTGTTTGCTGTCTAGAAATTCGAGAGTACTCTGCAGCCACGCCACGAGGGAGGCGACTGCTTTGTCATACACCTGCTTCTGTCCCGTCTTAGAAACACGAGGTGGAAAGTAGAGCCCGATGATGCCGAACGCTTGCTCCTGCTGCCTCACGAGGAGACATTCAGCTCTTCCCCACAACTGCTTGGGTACTGGAAGAATTATTTTGACCGAGTGCTTCTGAAACCGACTCTTCTTCAACAGGATGGTGATGCCACACGATGGTGTAACCAGTGGCCTTCGCTTGTAACCAAACTGATAACAACGGAACGAATCCACTATTCGCTCTGGCTCGACATGCTCGCCCGTGCTGCGCAGCTGGGTCCCGCCTAGCACGATGGCGTCGTGGGACGGGTACTCGGCGACAATGTCTGCGATCCTGGCGACGCGGGAGGCCGCGCAGGGATTGAAGCCGACGAAGCGAAACAAACCGGAGGCAGCGCTCATGAGCGAGCCGCCCTCAGGCACACCGCCGCCATGGCAGCCAGGCGTGAGAGCCCTGGCGAGTGTGAGATCTGAGTGGGGTGTGAGACTGATCTCGCTATCTCATCACTCGGGTCACCTGGAGGAGGAGGAGGAGGAGGAGGAGGAGGAGGCGGCGGCGAGAGGTCAGGGGCATCGTCGAGGGGGTAGAGGCTCGGGGGGGACTCTCGTCGGCTCTCCGATGTTGTTTTCTTCTTCTCGGGCGATCTCGGCGGTTTCTCTGGCCTCGGGGTGCGTTCCAGCGGGTGCGCCTCGCCGATGGGCGTTCTGGGGGTGCCCGGAGTCCAGGCCCCGGATCGTCCCGAACGGCCGCCGGAGAGCCGAGGTCTGACCCGAAAGCCAGGGGCAACGTTAGGTGGGGACGAGTCGACCCCGAGTCGCCTTTTCATGCCTGCTGGGGGCCCGATAGCCCACCCCGCCTGGGAACGTGCGGAGTCGTTATCGAGGACCTATCGTCGATCTGTCGGCGATGTATCGCCGATTCAGGCTCTTTGTTTTCCCCCCTGAGCTGGTCCCCCCTAATCGTGGCCCCCACGGGGGGGGTCATGTAGCAAATCATGGGCCATGGAGCCTTGTTTGCCCTCGTTAGTGTATCTTTTGAGTGCATTCGCGTGCGCAAGCGTCTGGTAGTCGATGAGGATGCGCCAGTTTAACGTCGACTGCGCGTCGATTGAGCGTCGACTAGCGTCGACTAGCGTCCGCTAGCGTTGATTCCTAAGAGCCAGCGAGATGGCATGGGAGGCTCCCGCGAGTTGCCACCGAACTGGGGAGGAGGCGGCGGGGCTGGCCCCAGAGGTGTGCCGTCGGCAGCCCGCCGCAGCGGGGCCCTCTGGTGGCGGCAAGTGCGGAGGAGGGCCGTCCGCCGTGCAGTCCGGCGAGGAGTTGCCGGATGTCCGCGCGGGTTTTTTTGGATCGGCGCTGGGCCCGTGGGCGGGGCCTCCCGCGCCGCCCCCGGCGCGCTCCGCGCGCCAGGGGAGGGGAGATCCAGCGCAGGTCAAAGAGGTTGCGCGGACGTCCGAGAGCTCATGCTTGTGCACATCTTTGTCCCTCCAGGCGCGGAGGGAGCGCCGCGTTGGTTGTTTCTGCCGCGGCCGCGGCACGTGTCCTGCTCGCTTAGGCACCGTCGCTACTTGTAGCTCTCACGCCCTGGGAGTAGGCCCAATGACAATCACGTCGGACTGTTCAGGAACTAATTGTCACCAGTTACATCCTAAGCATACCAGGCAGCCATTTTTCGTTCGCGCCATGGGAAAGCGTTCTTCGGGCGACCTCTTACGAGCCTCTGCGCGGCAACTCGCTACAGTGATATTATGTAGGTCGATTTTGCCACATATTCAGCAACTCAGCACGAATTGCATGGCCATGTAACATTTTCCACCGTTCAAATCGTTAGCTCTAGGAGTCACTAAACCATACACCCGTAGTTAGCTGCAGTTCCGATAGCTAGCCTGCTCTGTTTCGATCTCAATAAGTATCAGCAGTTCCATGGCTGACTTCACTATCATATGTTTATGTAGTTCTGACTAATCGCTGCTCGTAGCTCATTCGTCTTGCAGGGGTTAGCTCAAAGTTTTTGTACATTGATCAGGTCGCACTCGGGTTTTAGAATCCAAGCAACCGCTCAAGGCAGTTCATTTTATTCTGAAGCTATATTGGCAGCCCATCCGCGATTATCTTTCATATACCAGAAGCCCGGCCCCAGGGCCCCTTGGGCCGAAGACCACCAGGGGCCACAGGTATACACTAAGTGCCACCTACCCCCCCCCCGGGGCCTCCCCGGGGCCACCCTGGTCCCCCGAGCTTCCAGGTAGGTTCTCAGTATGTCCCAGATGGGCCGACGTGGCTTTTGGACGGCTCCAGATGTCACGACGGCACGGGGCCTTCAAGATGCCCCAAGACGGCTTCGAGAGGACCCCCATGGAGCCCGAAGAGGCGAACATCTGTCCATTCCCGTAGGGAAACGCTCATTTCTAGCACATTCGCAGTTTCCATGTGCACAGCGTCCAAGACGGCTCGGCTCCAGAGGCCCTCAGAGAGCTTCAAAACGACCCAAGTGGTCCCCCAGTGGGCCCCAAGACGGCCCAAAAGGCATCCAGGACCGTCCAAGACGGTCGTGCCCCGATAAAGGCTCTGTGGGTGGGGAGAGTTCGAACCCACATTTTGAAGCTCCCGCCCAGAGGACCCCGAAGACTGACAGCATGCCCCCGAGGAGCCCCCCGAAAGGAACCAGGAGGCCCAAAAGATGCCTCAGCGAGGCCTCGAAAAGCGCCCAAAGAGGCTTCACAACAGCCTCGAAGAGGCTGCCCTGAGGCTTTCCCAGAGACGCGAACAGGCATTCAAGATGTCGCAGGCGGCCCCTGTAGAGACGACAAGATACTTCTTGCACTCCTCAGATCGAAGACACAAGTATGCAAACACTCTCCGAGTCACCCCTCCTCATTCTCTTTCTTCCCTCCCCCCTCTCACTCCTCATCCTCTTCTGTTTCTCTCATCCTTACGCATCCCACCTCTCAACACCCTTTTCTCTCTCATTGCGCATCGTCTCTCTTTCATGCGCCCTCCTCAAGCTAATCTCTTCCTCCTCCTCCTCCTCCTCCTCCATCTTTCTTTCCCGTCCACCTGCCTCCACCGTCCCTCGTTCCCATTTCCTCCTCCACATTTCGTTTCCTGCTGTCATCGCCCTCCTCCATTCCCTTCGTCCTGCCGCCTCCCTCCTTCACCCTGTTTCCTGGTACCAGCATCTGGCGTTCAAACAACGGAAGCCCGACCTCGGGGGCCCCAAGCTGCAACGCACACAGGGCACAGGGCAGCCAGGGTCCCTTGAATGACGCCTCCCCTCCGGGGGCCTCTTCGGAGCCTTCCCCGAGCTTCCCTAGGAGGCTCCCGGAGCTGTGCAGAAGTTCCAAGAGAGGCCCACGACGGACCCAGGAGGCCCCCAGGCTGCTCAGGAAGTCTTCCAGCAGTAGGCCCCAAGAGGCCGCCAGAGTGCTCGCGCAGGATTTCGAAAAGGGCCAACTCAATCAAAACCATGTGTGCACTCATGTTTTCTTTTCTGAAGTTCCTCATAATTATGTTGCCAACGCTAGACTCCAATGTGGCCTCGGATGCTCACATGATCCCGAAGAGACTTGCAATATTGCCCAAATATTGCCCAGTCGCGAATACAAAGCCTCGAGGCGACTTGAGACACCAGCGCGTGCGCTTTCAAGCCAAGGACCCGATCATCCGGACACGGGTGCCATCCCCTGACGCCCCCTCTCCCGATCCTGAGTCTGCTGCTGAAGCAGTACATAGACAGGGTTTGCCAACTAGGTTTTGCATATATCAACACCAACAATCCAGTTAGCACATCAAATAACAGTATTACTTACTACTTTACATGGGCTCACCACTGGGTTGGTACAAACCGTTATGGCTAAGACTTTATGCTTGCGCTTGCAGCTGTATATCTTCATAACGGCACGCTGCAGTATCAGGCCTTTCTGGCTTCAGTTTGTTGGATCTCAACCCGCCAATTTCGCGTTTACGTCCCTGTCGGGGACTCTTCATTGTGAGGTCTTGCTGGAGTAGTTGTCGACCACGTCTCTCTCTGAGTGATGGGAGGCGACGGCGAGAAGAATCGTTTCTCCTGGGCACCGGGGCACCGAGGTTGAGGACAGTCTTGGAGCGGCGCGGCCGCTCCAGAGGCGCGATCCACAGGTGTGGCTCTCACTCACGCTTGGTGCTCATCATGCTCCTGCTAACGGCTTTCTGACAGGCATGGCAGCGCAACGGTGGACCTGTTGCTTGTGCGGGTGCAAGAAGAACTCGGGCCGTTTCTACTTCTGCAAGCACTGTGGAGCTGTCAAGTCTGACTGCGCGGTTCCGTCTTCGACTTGTTCCCCTGGCAGTGCGCTGGCCCTGTTTGGCAAGCCAGGGGGAGAAGGCAAAGGAGAAGGCAATGGAGTGACTGGAATGCAGCAGGGAGCTCAATCTGGAGGTAAAGGGGGGGGGGCAGGTACGAGTTAGCAGCGCGAGAAGATTGGAAACACCCAAAGAGCTCGAGCGCACAGGTCAAGGGCGGCTGTGTACAGTCCCCCCCCCAGCAGCTCGAACACTTGCAAGTACGGCTCGGTCGAGCGAGCCCATCAAACAACTCGTATGGTGGAGAAGAGCCTAGACGCGGCGTGCAATCAGAGTGAGCAGCTGGAGGCTTAGCTGGATGCCCAAGTCACGCATGCATTGCAGCTCCGAGCCGGACTGGTCGAAGCGGAGTACGACTATGGAGGTCTTGTGCGACGTTTGCGCGACGAGTTGCTGGCCGCTGGCCAGAGTAATTCTTCTGACGGGGCGCAGCAGGTTTGCGCGAAACTTTCCATGGGGGGCCTCCTGGACGCGCGGCGCTCCGCCTCGGCTTTCGACGGGGATTTCGGAGATCTCTTCGTCGTCAAGGATGAAGGCGGCATGTCCATGGCAGGCAAGGCCGAGGTCACGGCCAGGGTGCAACAGTTCAAGGCTGGCATCGCGACCCTGGTGCAATCGCTTTTAGCAGAGGCGAAGGCAAAGGTAGACTCGCCCGAAGCAGAACATGCTCAGCTGGCAGCAGGGATGGTGGCCAAGAAGAGGCGCGCGGGGGAGCTGGGATATGGAGTTGCAGCGGGAGCGCCGCAGCAGCTAGCAAGTGCTTCCCCGGCAGCCGCGGACACGGCCGCGCCCTCCGACCTCGTTTGGGGAGGGGGCGCCACAGCCCGGTGCTGGTCGGGCCGCTCACAGTGCCGCTCCGACGGCGACCGCAGCTGTGTCGGCGGCTCGCTCGTGCGCTGACAGGATTGCCGCCGCGAGTTTTTCTGAGCCGCATCCCCTGGAACGAACCAGTAATACTTCAGTTGTGGCTTCCTGGCCCTGGAGGTCCGCGTTCGAAGCGCTGGCCGCTCCCAGGGCGACAGGCCCGAGTGGCGGCTCTTGCATGTGTCGGATCCATGGGG